AAAATTCAGTTTTATGAATCTGGCGGGAAGGGGGGTCCAAGTGGGACTACAGTTCCTTTTATACATAGCAGCAGTAGCAACCTCTTTCCACTTTCTCAGCATGTCTGCCATAGAGAATTCAGAGAATATCTCCATTGATTTCAGTCAATGAGCAACCCTTGAAAGTATCAAATCTGTTGGGTTTTCTGTGGTTCTTTCCTTATCTGAAAAAATTCGTGAATTTCTTTCTTCCCATATTGACAATCACACTGCAGCCCTAATGCTTCTCCACATAATCTGCCCCCTTCTCTTAGGCCAACTAAAGAAAGAAGGAGAGAACAAGCATTGCACACTCATAGGGGGATCCAAGTATACCCCAAAAGGGAAAACACCCACTCCCAAACAGTCTTAGTAACTGGACAAGTAACCATAATATGATAACCCGTTTCCCCATCAGCTTTGCAAAGAATACACCTATTGGGAAGTAAACAGCAGTTGGGTCTCTTTCTTTCAAGCAAGTCATTTGTGTTAATTCTTTATAGGAAAATTTCCCAACAAAAACTACCAACCCGAGGGGGAACGGGTTTGCTCCAAGTCTCTTTAACCGGGAATGACAGCCCAAGCGGAGTAGTAGGTTGGACTAATGTCTCAAAAAATGAAGCACAAGAGTAGTAGGTTTTCCTTCTTTTTGAGATTTCTCCCCACCACCTATCCAATATCTTGGCCTGATAAAGAAGGTTTGGGTCTTCTTTTAGGTAAAAACTCTGGCCAGAGGATGATCACCAGCAGCTCGTCCCCGTCTTCAATTTGAACAGGCGTTGGGGAATGCCCCTGCCACCTGACCAGAATACGAATCCATTCTGTTGTGTCTTTGGCATGCGACGAGTTGTCTGTCTCAACATACCCTCCACACATGTCTCCTATTTTCTCAACCAACATAGAGTTCTGTGTAGGGGTAAGCCAAAGATTCACATCCATAAGGTTTTCCTTGCCTCTCCATCTCAACAGAGGTCTGCCATATCCCAAGGGACTAGTCAAAGGAGTTCACCGTCTACGTTTCTGCCCCCTGACTTCCAAAACCTCTTCGCTTCTGGGGATATAAAAAGAGTCCTTGCATTCAATAACCTCTGCAGTCTCAACCCTCCCGAAGGGTCCCACTTTTGAAGAGCCCAAGCTTTCAGATCTTCTAAGGATTTGGAGGAGATCTCCTCCCCCACTAGACATGCCTTCAAACAAGGATCAAAGTATCGGTATCGGGTATCATATCGAACAACTTGGATACGGATACAAATATGCTAGGTAACACATGGAGTCATGGATATAGATGAAAAATATGGAAATGCTTGGATACACTATTGAAATGTGTAGAAATTCCATAAATATATTAATAATATAAAGTTTATGTCAAAATGATTAGTAATAATAAATAAATATGTAGGAGCTTTATATTTTAATGGTATATATGAAGAAATATATTGCAACTAATATAGCGAGATGCATAGATATTATGCAATTTTATTGATAATGCATCAATCAAGAATCTAAGACATATTATATAGATTTTTAGAAATTAATACATGTACAAAGCCATTATTATTTTATTTTCTATTAAAGTCCAAGTTACAAAACATATGCAACTATTCTATTTAAATTACTAATATCAATATTTCTATTTTACTATTTTTATTTTTTAACATTAACAAAAAAAATCAATTCTCAAATGTTTGGTAAACAATATTTTCATTTTTTAAAAAATAAATATGTTATTATAAAATTTAAAGTATTAATTAATAATTTATAAAAAAATATATAATCTAAATTTAAATAATATCAAATCTATTAAAATTTTGAAGATATATATTATTTGAAAATTCATAAATTTTAATTACTAAAATAATTATTCCATTATTAATATTTTTATTTTATAAATTTCTAAAATACAATTCTTTTTTTATTTTTATATAAATGTAGATTAGTGGAATTGACCAATTCAATTTATGTTATATTCTCAAATATTTTGTAAATAATATTTTTATTTTCGTAAATAGCAAATACATTATTATTTAATGCAAATTAAATATTAATTAATAATTTATAAAAATGTGAATATACATATAATGTGTATATTTATAAATTTTATGTACTAAAATAATTATTCTATTAATAATAATTTTATTTGTATAAATTTCTTGAAATTGAAAATCATTTTTTGGTATATATGTAGATTTAATAAATTATTAATTCCATTGTTCATAAAATACTAATTTTAAAAATTATTCTTTTTAATTTATAGTTGGAGTTGTTTGAATATTAGTATATATTGTTTTTTTGGGTTGTATGTAGACTACTAGACTTTAATGTTGATAAAGGTTAATGTATTTCTTTTATTATCAAAAAGTGGTAAGTGGTTTGGTGGTGAAAGAGGCATATGCTCTTGGTCATTGGGTGACTTTAGTTCTATGTTCGAATCGTGGCAGCCTCATTTTTTTAAAGTGAGACGCGGTTTGTTGTTGTCAGATGAAGGCATGGATGTAGACGCGTGGTACGTTGTCGTTTCAATACGTGTTGGATTGTATCGCTTGATACTATACAATACACGCTGATATAGTAGCATATCAGACCGATACACACGGCTAGTCGGATAAGTATCCAATTGTGACGTATCCTGTGCCGGTGAGGTCTGATACTGATACGATACGCCCCATATCGGGTATCGTGTCGATATTTTTAATCCTTGCCTTCAAAAAATCCACTCTTGTGCCTCTATATAAACCTTCGGTGGCCACATAAAGACCATCCTTGCGAGCTTTAACCTTCGCTTCTCCCTCCAACGGCCAGATAGAACTGCTGACAACTTTTGCTTAAGTTCCCCCCTTCTTTTTCTGGTTTCTCTCTCCTACACTATGAATTGGGGAACTTCGAACACCTTGACTGCAGTGATCGACTGCCCATCCCTTCTTCCAATTCCAGTTGCCTTTTAGAGGCCATATGTCCTTCAACCCGTTGCTTCTTCAGTTCCTCATCGTCAACGATCTCTCATCGACGGTCACGTTACCAAGTAAAATTTGATATGGAAAATGGAATTCATCTTGTACATTAGCTGTTCATTTATGTCAAACAAGGTAGGCTATAAAAAGGAAATCTTGCATAGTAGTGTCCTCAAAAATCCAATGGGTTTTTGGATTCTAATGTGTGTTTGACATGGACACGTCCATTTAGGAGGGTTCATGCATGCAACAATGTTAACGTCAGTTGGGAAAAATCTGAAACTCATTCTTAAGGGTTTGTAAGCTATATTTGAAAGTTGAAAGGTAGTCCTATAACGAAACCGGCAATATATGTTTGTATGCTTTCGTCCCCCTATAGTGATGGGATGTTGCAAATGTTTATTCAGGCATCTGAGCCACGAGATGGAGCATCTGATGATTTTCAAGAGCCACTTGGTTCTGAAGAAAAAGGAGTCAAGGGGAAATATTGTATGGATGATGCTATGGAAGACAAGCTTTGCGATCTCTATGATCTATTTGTTGAGGTACTGAATTTAGTTTGTTATGAAGTGCCTTGCTTTTGCAATTTCTTTCCTTTTGTTTTCATTATCTTACTGCTTGACTGTCCTAGGGTATGGATGAAGACAAGGGCCCACAGATCAGAAAGCTGTATGTAGAGGTATTTTGCACCTACTTTTTTAGTTCTTAGTTCTTATGTAGGTTGGTGCCCCCCCCACCCCCCAAAAAAAAAGAAAAAAAAAGCTGTCAAGAGTACTGCCAACTCAGTTAGTCTGGTGTTTTAGGGGCCGTTTGATTTCAGTTGAATTTCTTATTACTTTGTTTTTTAGTGAATGAGCTTAAGCAGGTGACAAACTCCTTTATTGCTGAATGGCATGTTTGGTGACTACCTTACCTCTTGTATTTCATTATATGACTGTTGTATTCACTTAAAGAAAAAACAGATAAACAATTCAGTTCAACCAATTCAACTGTTACAAGATGGCCCTTAGCAAAGTCTTTCTCTCACATCAATTCAGCTAACTTTTGTGCAAATTGTTAATTATTGTGGCAACTTAATTCTTTAGTAAATCCTGGAACATTTTCTGAGATTCTTGTTATGTGTGCAAAATCTGTGGTTCAGCTTGCAGAGTTGTGGCCAAATGGATCCATGGATAACCATGGAATCAAAAGTGCTGTCTGCAGAGCAAAGGAACGAAAGAGGGCAATGTATAGCAAACATAAGGTATCCCTCTCTCTCTCTCTCTGCATTCTTTCATCCCCATCTCTTTACATGTTTACATCCTAGAAAATTAATTTGCTGGCAAGGGTTAATGTTGGTACACCCATACCAGCATGCTTATCACTTTTTGAATGAAATGCGTTACCTATTTGTCAAAAAATAAAAAAAAAAACTTAACACAGCTTGATAATCCCTAAATTATAGTGGTAACAAAATCATTTAAAATAAATCTCAGAATTTTTAAAGACTAAATTATGGTGTGTATTTTATTTGGTTAGTTTTTTAATATATAGGTCTATGGATGATATGGCATTTCCATGCATATGTGATAATAAATTAATTACTTAAGTTGAATAAAGTGTACACTATCTTTACCATATAATGCCAATACTTGCCTTGGCTTCATGTCAAAACAACCATATTAAAATTTGCATCTATTTTTTTTCTTTCTCCTAGTTCTACTCATCTATCTCTTCTTGCATATGTGGTGCATGTTCCACTTGTAAGGCAAACTGTAGTTATTACTCAAAATATGTGATAAAATTTAGAGGGTTGCAAGTAAAAAAGTGTGCAGTTTATATTTGCACCGGTATGCAATTATTTTTGAGAAAAAATTCTATATCCATATTTTCTTGAAATAAATTTAATAGCAGTCATCTTTTTAAGTTAAAAGAATTTTTTCCATATCTACATTTTGTTTTCTGAACATGTTATGTAGTTTTTGCATTTTCATTTCGTGTACCTTTTCACTATTTATTTGATTTTTAGTATTAATGGCCTTTCTGTATGTATATTATACATTTTCTATACCATTTCATGTATATCTTTATTCTTTTTGGTGTTTCTGGTTGATTCCATATGCATCTGTGATATGTAAATTGAAACTAATTTGCTGTTAAGCTTCTTTACAATATTTAAGTGGTTAATATCCAAAAAATGAGTGTGACAGAAATATGAATGTTAAGATAGATGGTGGCCAGCCATGGGAAAACTAGAAATGATAGGATAAGGTGACATGGGTACGTGGAATATAGCAAGCTTATTTCAGGGTGACATAGAGGAGAAATGGAGGCAGGAAACAGACGGCCAGAAAGGTCAGACAGATGAAGGTAAAAGATCTGGGCTTCTGGAAACAAGAAGGGCTGAAGACATTAAAGGGAATAACTCATCCCTAAGACTTCAGAATATGCCAGGCATAAAAGAAGGGGTAAATCGGGAGAACCTGAAGCAGAGTAGGAATGCATCAGATGGGGTGAACCAGGGGTGGAGAGGACATATCACCACGTTGACCAAAGGGCAGTAGGACTTTCCAACCAACTCAGGGAGATAGATAATTACCAACCTTTGGAACAAGAAAGGGAAGCTGGGAACAATCCTATTCCAACCTGTCTATCAGACCCAGGTAACCAAGTGATTTCAGTTTATGCGACTAATGTGTGTTTTGTGTCCCTGGTTCCAGATTCCGTTCCCGCTCCATGTCTTGCAAACCATGTATGTGCAGCCAATCAAGGAGGTGGGTCTTTTAAGGTTTTGGAGAGGGGAATGAAGGATGTAAAGAGATTGAGCCGAATGGGTCCTAGTATCTTCTCTTGTAATATTTTTTCTATTTTCCTGTTAGTTAATGGGCCTCTCTTAATGGGCCTGTTATTTCTTTTTGTTTGATCTCTTTATGTTACTGCCTAGCTGGCCGCCCACTTAAGGGCTTACTTGTAATTAGTTTAACATGAATTTTTAGTAAAAAGGATTAGAGAAGAAAGGGAAGGATTATTCAGACCTTTATTCTTCTTCCTCCTCTTTTCTCCATCTTCTTCTCTTGTACTGCTGCTCTTACTTTTCTTCCTCCTTTTTCTCTCTAATTTTTTAAGTTTACACCTATTTTTGAGGATTGGTTTACATCTTGGTATTGGAGCATGTTTCTTTCTTCCTTCTTTTCTTCTTCCTCTTTTCCCATACACCCTTAGATTAAGAGAGTGTATAGAGAGATAGGTTCTCTATAGCTCAGAGGATCTCTGGCCTAGTTGGTAGAGGGTTTGGAGAGTTTAAATTTGGATGGATATTGCCAAGAAGTGGTGCTGTTCTGTTGTTGCCCAAAACCTAGCCGACTAGAGATTTTCGAAGGTACAGGTAAAGGTGAAGCTTTGGGTGTGGTGCTCTGTGCTTGGGAGGTGTCTTTTGACTCCTAAAGGAGGGCGGTTCAGGTTTGGAAGAGATTGGGAAGCTCTGGTAGGAGCGGCTGCATCTTCTTTCTTCCCAATAGTTGGATGGAGTATAATCCTAGTTTTCATTTATCTAGGTTCTGGTTTGACTTCAAGTAAGTTTATATAGACCAAATTTCTGATTCTTTGATTTTCGTTTGATTACTCGCTCACGGAAGTGAGTTCAAGCAAGTGCCGGTTTCCGGCCTTCGCTCGATAGATTCTGTTTTGACTGGTGTGACCACAATCAAGCTAGATGGGACAAATTATCTTGCTTGAACATAGTCTATGAGAATTTATGTCTTTAATAAAGGAAAACTCAGGTATCTCACAGGTAGTAAAGTGAAACACGAAGAGACAAACCCTGAATTTGAGAAATGGATGCAGGAGAACTATACAATCATTGGATGGTTGGTCAACTCTATGCAACCTCATATAAGTCAGCATTATCTCTGGATGTCTTCGGCTAAGGAGATATGGGACAGTGTTACTGAGACCTATTCACAAAAGTTGAATGTAGCCAGAGTCTACAAGTTGAAAAGTGACGTGAAGAACCTAAGACAGGGGGAGAAGAGTGTAGCAATCTACTATTCTATAGGAAGTTTGTGGAGAGAAATAGGGTGCTTGAATTTCTCACTGGACTTAACCCTGAGTTTGACATCATTAGGCAAAATATCCTGGCCAAAGACGATGTTACTCTTTCCTAGGCATATGATATGATAAGCAGTGAGGAGAGTAGGCGGCAAGTTCAGTTACAGAGTCCACTTACAGAATACTTTGCACATGCTGGAATAAAGCCAAAGGTCCTACTGAGAAAAGGGAACATATATGTGAATATTGCAAGAAACTGAGGCATACAAAAGACACTTGCTGGAAGCTTCATCCTGAGCTTCTTCCTGATAGGTTTAAGAATAACAACAGTTCTAAGAAGGGTAGTCGGGTAGGAAAGCCTAAGACAACTAATGTTGCTACAATACTTGAAGGAGGAAATAAGGAGAGTGAAGAAAAATCAACCATTGAGCAGTCGGCAGCAATGAAGGCGGATTTTGAAAAGTATGGGAGGCTGCTAAATCACTTGGAAGCTACTGTTTCTTCATCTCACTCTTCCAGCAATACATCATCATCATCTGCATTTGCTCACTCAGGTATTCATGCTTCTACAAATCATGCTTCAATTTCAGGTAATCATAAAATCCCTTGGATTATTGATTCCGGTGCATCAGACCATATGACCAGCCTATCTAATCTCTTCTGCTCATACCACCTTCTCTTTGGTAAAGAGAAAATATCCCTTGCTGATGGGTCTCTTGCTCCCATTTCTAGTAAATGGGATATAAAGACCTCTGACACCCTTTATTTATCCTCTGTGCTTCATGTCCCTAAACTTAATACTAACCTTTTATGTGTTAGTAGCTTAACTAAATCTATGAATTGTAGCATAACCTTTTTTCCCACTCATTGTGTTTTTTTGGACCTGCAACCTTAGAGGATGATTGGGAGTGGCCATGAGGCGAATGGAATATACTTGCTGGACACACTGGATAGAGCTTTTGGACCACCTCATGGAGTTGCCTTAGAATCGTCTTGTCAGAGTCTATTGACAAAGTCTTGTTATGTCACTTTCAGTTTGGTCATTTGTCTTTTTCTACTTTGAGTCATTTGTTTCCGGATATGTTTAAGGGAGTGTCTTTATTGAGTCTTCATTGTGAGTCGTGTGGGGGCCATATCATTTGCCAACCATGGGGGGTTACAAGTACTTTATCCTTTTTATTGATGACTACTCTCGTTACACTTGGATTTATCTCATGAAATCCAGGGATGAAATACCGGCTATTGTGCAAAAATTTCATGAACTCATCCTCACCCAGTTTAACACTCGGATCAAAATATTCCGTTCTAATAATGCTAAGGAGTATTTTGAGARAACCCTCTCCTCCTATCTTGAAACTTTTGGGGTTATTCATCAAAGTTCTTGTTCCTACACTCCACAACAGAACAGAGTGGCGGAAAGGAAGAACCAACATGTGGTTGAAGTTGCCAGATCCCTCTAGTTTGCATCCCATGTTCCTATAAAATTTTGGGGAGATGTTCTTCTTACTGCTACCTTTTTGATCAACCGTATGCCCTCCCGGGTTCTTAACTTCAAAACCCCTTTAGCCTTTTTTTCCCGGATGAGGATCTTTTTTCTCTTCCTCTCCGTGTTTTTAGGTGCACTTGCTATGTGCATGTTCACAGCCATCAAAGGCACAAATTTGAACCTAAGGCTCGTAAATGTGTTTTTCTGGGATATGCCTCAACACAAAAGGGATATTGCTGTTTTGATCCAGTTAGTGGCACCCACTTTGTATCTCGGGATGTCACATTTTCTGAGTTGACTTCTTTCTTTAGTATTTCTCCCAAGGGGGAGAAATCTGAAGAACCCTTTGCTATGTCTTCAGCTGTTCCTCTTCCCATTCCTCGAGTCCTCTCATGAGGTGTCAACTTCTCCCACTAGACCTACCTCCAATATTCCTCCTCCTCCTCCTCCACCTCATTCTCCTATAATTCCTCCTTATCCTGTTCTCCAAAGGTGGTACCAAAGGCACAGATTCAGACATGGGCAAGTTGTTTCCACTCCTACAGAAGAGCCTCTTGCTCCTCCCATCATTACTGAGGTAACAGGTCAGCCTTCCTTTGACCCATCTACATCTTTCCTAGACCTTGGCCTTTCTATTGCTCTCCGCAACGGCAAGCGGAAGTGTACATTCCATTGTATCTCCAAACACCTGTCTTACAACATTTTCTCTCCTTCCTACTACTCTTTTCTTGCTTSTGTTTCTTCCCATGTGATACCCAGGTCCGTACCGGAAGCCTTATCTAGACCTGAATGGAGGGATGCTATGATGGCTGAACTGGATGCTTTGCATAAGAACCATACTTGGGATATTGTTGACTTGCCTGAAGGGAAGGAACCGGTGGGTTGTAAATGGGTGTTTACTATTAAATATCACTCTGATGGATCTATTGAGAGGTTTAAGGCTAGGCTTGTTGCTAAATGCTACACTTTGATGTATGGTATTGACTATGTTGAGACATTTGCTCCTGTAGCTAAGATGACCTCAGTCCGGGTTTTGTTATTTCTAGCCGCTACTTTTGATTGGCCCCTACACCAGTTTGATGTTAAAAATGCCTTATTTGAATGGAGACCTACTTGAAAAGGCCTATATGTCTTTGCCTCCAGGGGTGTATGGGAAGGAAATGCAAGGCAGTGTGTGTAAACTGTAGAAATCTATTTATTATCTCAAACAGTCTCCTCGGGCTTTGTTTGAGAGGTTCAGGGCTACTCTTGTCTCCTTTGGTTACACACAAACTCAATCTGACCATACCCTTTTCTTGAAGAGAAATGGTTCTCCGGTGACCTTTTTGATAGTTTATGTTGATGATATTGTGGTCATGGGTAATGACACTCAAGAGGTCAATAAATTCAAAAGATTTATTAACTCTGAATTTGAGATCAAGGATTTGGGAGATCTTCGGTATTTTTTGGGCATTGAAGTTGCTAGATCTAAGGATGTTATCTTCATTTCTCAGTGTAAATATGTCCTTGACCTCCTTATTGAGGCTGATAAACTTGGAGCTAAACCAATCCCCACTCCTATTGATCCCAATCATAAGCTTTTTGCTACAGATGGTGACCTTTTATCTGACAAGGGGGTGTTTCAGAGATTGCTTGGGAAGTTGTTATATCTTTGCATGACTCGGTCGGACATTTCCTATGTAGTAAGTGTTATTAGTCAATTTATGCATTATCCCAGATATACTCATTTAGCTGTTGCAGAAAGGGTTCTGTGCTACTTGAAAGGTACTTCAGGGAAATGTATTCTATTTGCCAAATTTGGAGACATGAAGTTGGAAGCTTTTACTAATGCTGATTGGGCAGGATGTATTGATGATAGGAGATCCACCTCAGGTTATTGTGCTCTGGTCGCTGGGAACATTGTGTCATGTAGGAGTAAGAAACAGTCTGTAGTTGCTAGATCCTTGGCTGAAGCAGAATACAGGGCAATGACACATGGTGTGTCAGAATTACTGTGGCTACGATTCCTTTTAGAAGAATTGGGGGTTGATTATGAGAAGCCAATGATGCTCTATTGTGACAACCAAGCAACTATCAATATTGCACATAATCCTGTTCAACATGACAGAACTAAGCACATTGAGTTTGATAGACATTTTATAAGGGAAAGAGTTTCCTTAGGAGAAGTTTGTTTGCCATTCATCACATCAGACAAACAATTGGCTGATATCTTGACCAAGGGAGTTCCGAGAGGGAAAATGA